CCTCACTCCGCGCAAGGGGGATGGTCGCACCACGTTGTGTTGAAATGGTACAGCGCCCTCAAGGCAGTTACACAATGCTCACAATTGTCTCAGGAAGTGAAAGTACCAGAAAATAAATTAAATTAAGTCATACGCAGCTGTCATCCGTACGCAAGGAAGTAAGCACAAGATGCCGAAAACCCTTAGCAGGATGCAGCGCACCCTTCATGCGACTCGCCGAATATCTCACGGCGCTTCGCGCTTGGTGATGTGAGAGCCTGGTCCGGTGAGAACCCGGCGTGNAGCCAATGAACAGAGGCACGAGCCTACTGCAGGTACTTTTGTGCAACCACCACAAATAACTATTCCACCTCCAACTCTAGTAATAATAATTTTTGTTTGCGAGATGAGTGGCCCGGATAGGGGTACGCTTTTTGTTTTGCAAAAAAAGCTGTTTAGAGAGATCGTGTGTGGATGTATGTGCGCACGAGAAAAAGAATAATGTTCATGCCCAGGGGCGTAAAAAATTCTCAATGGCTGTCTGATGTCTGTCTGTCTGGTGTCTGTCTGGTGTCTGTCTGCGCACCCTAAATAACCCAGCATACGTGAAGTTGGACAGAAACTCGAGTTATCGTTGCACCCGTGCGTTGTGTTCCCCCACCTTGCCGATGCTCTCTAAGGCTTTGTGGTCCGAGTGGATGAAGAACTTGGTCGACCACAGATAGCCGCGAAGGCGTTTGATTGCCCAAACAATCCCACCAGCCTCCAGATCCAAAACGGTCCAGTTGCGCTCCGCAGGGAGGGTAGCACGGCTGATGTACACGATGGGGCGCACGGAGCCATCCAGCTGTTCTTGTTCTAAAGAGGCGCCGAAGCCATCGATACACGCGTCAGAGCATAACCGGAGAGGACGGCTGTTGTCTTCGACCGCCGCCCAATCAGGAAAAACCAGAATCGGAGGGCGCGTGAGTTCGCTCAACAACGTCTTGACAACTTTGATCATGCTCGGGGTGTACTTGAAGAGGACACCTTGTTTGAGAAGGGCGTTGAGGGGCCGTACCTTGGTGGCGAGGTTCTTGAGAAACTTCNACTCCTCATCGAAACAGATAAAATCGTCCAGATACGCCAACACTCGGTCCAAGCCATGCACAACGCGGTTGATGACTTTGACAAACCAGGACGGGCTGGCGTTGGCGCCCTGCGGCATACAAAGCCATTCGAACAGCTGTGTGGGAGTACAAAAGGCGGTGAGAGGGACGGTTTCGTCATCACAAACGATCTGGTGAAAAGCCGAGTTGAGGTCGAAGATGGAGAACACTTTCCCGGTGTACAGCGAATCCAAGATACCGTCCACACGAGGGAGAGGTTGTCCGTCCAGGTCCACCAGAGCATTAAGACGCTTGTAGTTGACGGTAATACGGACCGATCCGTCCTTTTTGGGGATGACGACCAAAGGAGAGGCCCATGGAGAGGTAGAATGCTGAATTAGCCCTGCCGCCAAGTATTGGTCCAAAACTGCGTCCACTTTCTTCTGCATGAGGGGATTGATGCGGTACAGGCGAGACGCAACTGGCTTTGTCCCAGCAGGGACAGAAAGGGTGAACGGCATGATGTTGCAAGAACCAAAATCGGTTTTCGATGTTGAGAACACGTCAGAATACTCGAACAGAGCATCCGCCAAGCGATCTATAGCTTCCGGTGTCCATCCCGGATTGTGCAAATCAAAGGCGATGTCGTGCATGTGTGCCGGCAGCCTAGCCCACAAACGCGAGAAGCTGGAGCGCTGAGCCTCGGAGAAGCGGTCCATCAGTTCTTGGGGAGGCGGCTTCGGAGGAGGCGGGGCAGAGGTTGGATCCGAAAGGCTTTGGGCCTCGGACGCAGGATCAACGATGTTGACCCTAGGTGGTGATGTGGGGGCCGGACAATCGGGTGCAGGCGAAGGCGATGATGCCGCCTTTAGAGTTTCCACCTGGACGCGCAACAGCGGCGCTGCAGACACTCCAATAACGTCTCCCGGCTCCAATTCAGCACAACCTGCAA